GTTGGAGTGTCATCATACTTTGCGTCAATGTTTCGGACGTCCGTCACCTTTTGAGACTTTTCAGAGACTAGGAATGTATAGGTACCGATCTAATGTTTTGAGCGACTAAGAATGGTTATTGTAAAAAAAACGGGAAATGAAGGCTCGTACATTATGCAAGATCGATACCTGTACCATTCTAGTCGCCGAAAACGCTGGAAGACGCTCAAAACGCGCTTTCACAATCGAAGGGAACTATTTCGCCAGTTTCGCCGTTGACTGAAGTAATACGCTCTGATACTCGACTTTTCTTTATTCTCTCACCACTAACTCACCTGTAAGCATCCACTATTTGTTCAATCCTCTTTTCTCTCTTTTCCTTCCACATAAAAGCGGCTGCTGATTGGAGCACAGTGGCGGAGGCGCAAGCCATCGCCCTTCGCTCCGCGCTGCGGCCGTGGTGACGTCAAATAACCGCGCCGCATACGAGCCCGGGTGAGTTTTCCCTCGTCCGGGCGCTGCCCACAGCTCACAACCCCCGGGAATCAGCAAAGGGAATAGATCCGCGAAAAGGTTTTGATATTTATCGAAAGAAAGAGGCCGTGGAACAAGTGGACGAACATGGCGCCGTCGCGCATGTCGGTCTGGAGAACGGGGGAGCGAGCGGGAACGCCGTTTTTCTTAACTTGGACAAAGTCAACGGAATCAAACGTATCTCAACCGCGATCACGCCGAAATCGCCGGTGGGTTAGCCAATTCTTCCAATCGATGGATATCAAAACCTTTTCACGATGACGCCAAATTCGCCAAGGGTATACCTGTTAACAATGCCTTACAGTCTAAAATATGGAGTGCGTAGCAAGAGGACATAACGCGACGTCGCGCACACTTCGGGCTGGTGGGGTCCGCTGCTGTTGAGCGTAGCCCTCTATTCCCTCTAAGACGCAAGCTAACTTGTTGTTTCTGCGTCACCACATGTTACCACGCCGAAGTCTAAGAATCTGCTGCGGATGTGTACCCCCGAACGTTTTATTCAGTAGGGGCGCCAAGCGGCTCACTAAAAGAATTGTCAGGCGTGAGGTTTCAGTGCATTGCAGTAGTCGACCACGGACTCGCACCATATTTGACGCGCGTTACCTGAAAAAAGCGGTCGTAGCCGATTTGCCGACATATGCTTTGCGCTGCTGTAACAAAAGCGTGAACTATTTTAGGATATAATGCACTGCAGAGTCAGAACTTAAACTTATTGTTGCGAAAAACAGCAGACCTTTTTCTTAAGGTGAGAGGAAGAAGACAGTTTTCGTTTCTGTTCCCGTTTTCAGAAACTAAGGTTTCCGATGATCTTTTTTCCTGTGCTATGCACTATCTTATTAAACTGGGTAATCAGGGATTTCCAATCGTCCTTAATCAGTCGAATGCGGTGGAAGTTTGAAATCGCTCAACTTATTGTTTGCTGGAAACGGCGAAAACCATAAAATGGCACTAATTCAACATTTTATTAGCCCCTAAAAAAGACCAAAAATTTCTTTTTTGGTGAAACCTCGCCCATACAGAGGTTAGTTTTCAGTGTCCTGATTCACGAACATAGACTCGTTTTGGTGCGGGCTTGGGGCTCCCAATTTGGCGCCAGGTTTGGCGCCGCGCCACCTTCTCACACAAATTCGGGTTGTGCGATTATGCATAGGTCGGGCATTCACTCCAGCGTCCATTCCAGACTTTTCTAGGGCTGTCTGCAGTGTGTGAGAAAGAGTGTTTTCTTTTAGATCAGGCCAATCATTCCAAAGCGCAGACAACCACAGCGTCTTCCATCAGCGCTAGCGCCAAAAAATGTGAGATAATTATGCAATCAAAGATTGTTAACGTAGTTCTTCTATATACAAGATTTTCAAGCGGATTTAGTGTGACCTTAGGGGTATTTTGGCGCTGAATATCACCCTAGGTGGTTGCGGTCGGGTGATGTTTGTGTTTCAGGAGGTTCGAATTAACCTTCTAAAAATATCCAACTCTCAGCAAATCTGCTCACGTAGCAAAGAAAATAAGGTTTGATTAACACGTTGACGACGATGGCAGACAATGGTGGCTGACAGCCAGTCTGTCTCCATGGGACGATGGCAGACAATGGTGTCTGCCGTATATTTTCTAAGAATAAAGATGGACGAACAGCCAAGTTTGTCGTGAACGTGTCCCTGTGGGGTAGCTTGTCCTCTGAAATGAATTACCCGACAGCTGCTTGTACGAACTACCTGCGGCCGTCCGCGCTACAGGCGTCGGCGCCAAAATACCGTAAATCACCAAATTAGCTAAAAATTGTTCCTAGGGGTAGTTCAACCCCCTAAACAAGAATATCATGTCCACTTAATGCATTGACGAAGATTTCCGTCAATGGTGGACGACAGCCATTTTATCTTGTGGGACGGCGTAACCCAATGCTTATATAATCAAAATCTGCGCGGTTGTTTCATTTTCTTTTCTAAAGAATCGAGGATTATTGGGCCAAGGGGATGCGATATGAACCTTCAGGAGGTGAAGCTACACCAGGAGATTAATTTTCAGCCAAATATGCCTCCAGAGAAAGAAGTTGTCGAAAATGGCCTGGTTTTGGAAGATGAGCAATAAAAGCTAAATTATGTCAAAGATTCGGGATTCGTACACTCGTATCTTGCATTTCTTGAAACACTTTGACTGTAGCCATTCATTTACTCGAAAATAACTAAGTTTCTACGGAGAAAAAAGGGTGCCTTCCAGTGCAATTCACCGAAAATAAAACGGGCTCGCAGGTCAAACGTGTTAAGATCCGGCCTGTCTCTTGGAAACGGGTGAGGCCGGTTTTGTTTTTCCGATGTAGACGCGCCGTAATATTGGTGTTGAGTCCTGGTGACAGCCGACCTATCGAATGCATCAACCTCACGGCCTAAATTCTTTTCGCTGACGCACTTGCGCCCTACCTGAAAAATTCGTTATTGTGCCGGGGATGTGTTACTACGAACGCTTACCGTGTCGGGCGCGGACTACGACGATGCCGGCGTTTAGTGACCATTCCACTCACAATTTTTCTTCTTTATCAATTTGAGTTCGAAACGGGACGTGACCGTCACATTATCCATTCATCTCCCCTTTTGTTTTATGACGATCCTATGCAATCGTCACAACGAAAGTTTTGCCATACATAATAAATGATTCATGGTAGTGTCTGTAATTACCGATCGAAATACTGTATGTAGAATTAACAAATAACAAACTCACCGTTTGCCATTTGTTTACTTGAGAGGCTCACGTTAAGCACCCATATCAGCTATTTGACGTACATTTTACACACCGCTCTTCGACCTATTCAGGAATGATTCTCGGTAGAGCGACACTCATAGTACCCATCTGCCTAAAAACTAAGGCTTACAATTATAAGGCTTTGTGTCACACGCGACATATACATCCACATCAACGAAAGTCGCCCTCTGTAAAGCAACTGGCAATTCGAACAACACGGCGCTGTTTGGCTTGAGGAGGGGCGAGAGGGTGGAGGGTATTTACATTTCTGCTAGTATTTGGGCCTAGCTCTTGTTTATTTACAATGTTCTCCGGTATGGGACCTGTAGACTCCTGTCAAGCTCGTCAAGCGTAACGAAGCATATGTTGCTTGCCATGCCCTTTTCAGGAATCTCAGAAACCCTCCACAAGAAGCAACGGCAGTGAACGCTGGAAACTATAAAATGCCCCCACCAAGCTGAACAGCGCCTAATTTTTTAAAATGAAAATTGGTTCTAAACACTTGGAATAACAGCTTGTCGCCCACAAATGTAGATCCCCAAGTTACCCTCGCTTATCCCTGCCTGATTAAAGTGTAGGCGTGATTTTGAGCACGGAACTGGTTACTCGTGGAATATTTCAGTCTGGGACAACTGTCATCTTGTTCTGTGTTGACAGAGACACGACAACAATTGTGTCAAGATGAAAATATCTCACCAGAAGCATAGACACCTTCAGGTTAAGTTGAAACATGCGGCCACGCCTACCCGATCTCAGGGATTTCGAGTATAGTTGGGGAGAAATAGATCAGTTCAAACGCCCTCTATCTGTTCCCCTGACCCTTCTGGAAGAAGGATCATCATCTCGATAGGAGGTCCCAGATGAATAGCGTCACCAGCACATCGTCTCTCAACTACCATAAAATTCAGTGGGAAGCAGTAACCTCCCCAAAATAAATGATGGCCATGCGTTTGTCAAGGACTGCACAGCACTTACCAGCGTTCAAAGTTTCAAGGAACTGAATAAAGAACGAAGAATAGTTAGGAGGGGTCACGCTGCGTTACCACGCCGTCTCATGCCGCGCTACCGCGTTTTTCTTGTCACGTTATTTCAAAGCCATTAATGAGTACGCAGCCCCCGAATCGTCTATTTGATAGGAGGGCGTGGACAAGCATACATGACGTAGCACAGCCGCCACGTGAACCCCTCCAACTACCTTTGCCCTGAAACGAAGCAATGCCTTCGCACGTTCAGTAGACGGATGTCAACCATTCAAACTAATTCATACAAACCATATGACAAAATTTTATGCTAACAATTAACTAACGTAAAATATGAAATAACAACTTATAATCTAATAACTATCCTACCAACTTTCAGAAACAAGTATTACAAGTGAGATACATAACAAGTACAACGCCTATACAAAGGACAGCCAAGATAAAATAGGGGGATATATAATCGCCAAGAATTTCGGGAATTAACAAGCACTACTGAAAGGCGGGTGCAGTTACTGATGTGGCAGATTGAGCAGTACGTTCTGGTTCGATGGCAGATATGTGACGTTCTTCGCTTTAGACATACGCTCGGCTATTTCCTCAGCAGCTTCAATCTTTCTCAATTCTATCAGGCCATCGCCAGCATCCGCAAACGCCTGAATGACTTTCAATAAGGTCACATACGGTGAATATAACTGAAGTACGGTCCTGCTCGCTGCTGGTACTGGAGCGTGTCAGAGGGAGGGTTTGGCATGGGCCAGCACGCTTCCAACAATTGCTCACGCTTTCCCCTCTTCAACGACTGGAAGAGATCTTGCTAGTACCGCGACAAACTCTCAGCTCCCTGACACGCCCCAGCATCCACAGCGGACAAGTGTATAAAGAAGAAAGAAAATGTGAAAACTAATAACCTTGCTAAGCAATTTTGCAGCTTGTGCATCTCCTTCGGCGGTAGTGATGGCTGCCATTTTCATTTGTTCAGCTTTCTCTACGAGATAACGAGCTTTCTCAGCTTCCTGTTGTGCTACTTGTTTCATTTCGACGGCTTCTGTGAATTCGCGACCAAAGGAAAGGTGAGTCTGAAAGTACATAGATATGAAATTGCTCAAAAAGACTAAGAAATTGCAATAATGTGAGTGACTTTTTCTTCCATTTTTATGACAAAAACGTTTTTTTTTCTGCTGGCTACAACTGAGTCTGAATAAACTCTTCTTGTTAGTGCACAACGACACATGTCCGGTCAGGGAGCATCATCACACAAGAAAGAGTCCGTTCATTTTTGCGTAAACGTTTTGAGCGTCAGAGTGTTTTGAGTGAGCCAACTCATACTTAAAACGCTGATAAACTCATGAAATGGATAGCTCTGACCAGGCAGCAAATCTTTGGAAATGTTGTCAAAAGGCGAAACGACAGCACAGCTGAAGAAAGAGAGCTGGGGCGAGGTAGCTGGGAGGGGCGGGGGTGGTGGCATCGGCTTCGGCAGAGACTAAGCCCGTCTTTTTCTGGCGTCTGCGCCATCTCAAGGAAGTAACGTGCAGAGTTTGGTGATGCAGGGCGAGGGTGGACATGAGCAGAGAATCGTCAAGCCATTGTCATCACTTCGCAAACCTACAAGGCCTAAACAGTCACCAACTTCTACGTCAAAGATAGAGGCCGCGATTGCAATCCGTGGGTAAACTGATTCTACGACGAATGTTCAAGTGCTGAGTACTCAATAGTCAAAAAAGTAGAAAGAAACTATCAAAAAGGCTCTACGTAGGATAACCATTAGTTCTAAGCACTACTGGAATAGAAGGCGAAGAAATGAAGTGGTATGGGAAGGCTAGAAATCATATCATTGAGCGGAGACAATAAAGCATGGTTAAGCCGTGCCACCGACAGCAAGCCATTTCTATGCGCGAAGTGTGAAATCCCCCGCGGTTGCGGACCTGGTCCAAGTATAAACGACTGCACGTTGGTCAGTCGTGAATGCTGCGATTATTTTAACCCACCCTACTAAGTTTGGAGATATGAATGCATTATGAGTGCTTCTCAGCGAAAGCAAAAGCAAAATAGTGATCACAAAGTGCAGGTGAGCCTTGTGGCTGTGAGCTTTTGACGAATGAAAAAGAGGAGGGGAGGTGAAAGGAACAGAAGAAACGAACAATGAAAAACTAAAAAGGGTGAGTGGGCCGTACACAAGTGCCCACAAGACCGAAAAATCACTGCCGAAACTCCGGACCATCCTCATTTGTTTTAGCATGAGACAACATGCTCAAAATGGGGGTTATACAAGTGACTTGCGGGGCCAGTGGGTGATCAAGGCAGTGCTCTTAGACGAACCTGTACCGATTTGCCGTTCCCGGAGGATAGGAACTTCCTTGGCCCGCTCGGAAGCCGATTCGGGATTTTATTAACGCACAGCGCTCGTGGTAAGCAAGTCACCGACACACCACCCCTATCTTATCAAGCAATACTTGGCTTAATTATAAACCACTTACAATAGAGATATCATCTAAAAGGAGACCAAATTGAGCGGCTCGTTGAGCAAGCGCCACCGAGACACGTTGGGAGACTGTTTCACGCTGAGTGATCATCTCATGAGCGTCGAATTGAGCCTAAAATTAATAGCCTGTATCGAACTCACACCATCCAAAGTGGATGATGATGCAGTAACAACTCGTTGAACCTACCACAACGGCTTTTAAAACCTCGTTCGTAATTGATGGCAGTACCCTTTCAGCATAATCCAAACCAATATTCAAGTAAATATTCGGCAATTTGCTAGGATCTGGTCGATGAAGTATACGCAGAGTTATAGAGACGTTTTGAAGATCTGGCAATAAAGAGATTCATCTACACAACAGGGAAAAACGGCTTCACAGCAGCTTATACCAACAAAATAAGTCTTAAAGGATGAAGGATAAATTATGTTACACTATATCAAATTAGCCAAAATTCGGAGAAAAACTTGAAGACTTAGGAAATCAAACATTCTGCTCTAAAGGGCTCACTTAAGTTGAGAAAAGCAAAGAATTCAAGTTAAAGGTACCTTTGCTTCCGGTGATCGTGGAAATTACTCTGGGTGTCGAGCGAATATCGAACAAAATTGGCTTTTGCAACCAAGGGACGAGGAAGTGCGTGCCTTCACCAATTACTTCATCTTTCACTCCAGCAAACCGATCAAAAATGACTGCCCTTTGACCACCATCAACTGAAAACATGCACTTTGAGGGCTATAAGGCTCTTATTCGCAGCAGTATTCGTTGTGAAGTTGATTTTGATCTGTTTTCTACGCACTGACATAGAACTGAAGTGAACCAAAATGAATCATATATTGTGAGGAGGTGCATTAGACTCACTGGTTCAGAAATGTCGTGCGGGGGATCCCCAGGAGGGGCTGTATGTTGTGGGAGGAGGGAGGGGTAGTATATGCCCTTTGAGAAAAAATTTGTCGGTTCTTTCCTCAGTTTCCAAATGTGTTATGTCCTTCACCCACTAATCAGCGGGCCCGTCAAAGTCCTACAACTACTATTTACGATAGTTGAAATTAGTAGTTGTCTAGTAATGACCTCCCCCCCCCCCGATTGATGGCTATTTTTGTGGGACAGTGGAGGAATGTTAGCAAAAAAACTCTGGGAAAGTGGCAGGAAGTTGGATAGATTCAGGGAGATATTATATCGGATGGAAAAGGAGGGGGTCGAATCGGAGGGGAAAACTGCGGTGGCAAAAATTCTCCCAACCTGCCCTGAACTGGTCACAAACACACCTTGTAGACACCTCAAAATTTCTGAAAAGACCAGTTGGAAGACCAATGAAATGCTCAGACTAGCCAAGCGTCTAGATCGATGTGAACAGGACCCTACTTTCTTCAGATTATAAAATTTCCGATTTTTCAGCCTACAAAGAATCGTCATTTGTGTTGTGAAGAAGAGAGGTCCCATTTGATTAGTTTGACTACCAAAACTTTCGAATGGATATTTGAAAAGTCCAAATGCAAAAAATGTAGTAAAAGTAGGAGCTTACCATTATAAAGAGCTGATTGTGCCACACCACCAGCAATCGCAATCCCCACTCCTATGGCACCCAATCTGCCAAGCATCTTCTGTACTACTGCCATAGCTGAAGTGTTAAGCATAAAGTATTTTCATAACCGATACTGTTTAGCATTGAACATGTATCGAAAAAAAACTAGGGTTCCGAACAGAGAACCTATTAAGGAACAATCAACGTTGGACAATGAATAACATAATCAAATGGTCAGAGGAATGGAAGTAAGTCTTTTCTTAGTTTTCTAGTCGCACGTTCAAATCGCCTTTTCAAAGGATCTGTTTGAAAATCAGGAGACACAGATTCTCGAAAAGTCCCTCTCACATCCATCTGTCTTTCCTCCCTCTATGCTTAATGGGAGTTCTTTATCCATCACAATTGCTTCTCATGCAGTTCTATCGCTTTCTCAATGCTTCTAAAAAACAGTTTCAGATTCGTTACTTTTGTGTGCTGCGCTCATTAGTACCAAATTTGTAACAGCGCAATGCACCAATTAAATATATCAAAACATGAAATTCAATTTGAACTTGCTTACTGTGCTCAAGAAAGGATGTAACAACGATTACCAATGAAATATCAAAACCTTCCGAGCTTTCATCATGAAAAAAAAGCTCAGCATTGCAGGTGGTCCTGTAACGAATCAGGTTTAAAGGACGCAAATCATAGAGATGGGCAGCCTTGCAGTTCCTTCAATTTCTCTTATCGCACTAGTACACGCAAAACGGGTTGCCACGCAGCAGTCGTTTCTTTGCGTCTCTTCATGACCGTTGGAATCCTTGCTGTCCCCTAAATTTCTACAGTTTTTGTTCCATTTTGAACATTTTCGAACAAATTTTAAAGTTTCTTTGTGATATTTGTCGGGAGCGCGTTAGGTGTGTTTCTTACGGCTTAACTCACTAATGAGTATCTATTCTTATTGAGTTGTTGGGTAAAAACCTATGGAACCAAAATTAAGAAATATTATTTTTGTCCAGTTTTATTATCCACGCTCAGTTCTTCGTTTTGAATGTTGGTCACTTGTCTTCTAATGCGCTCTATTTGCTGTCGAAACAGTGATTCTAATGGTGCAGTGCTGACGATTCAGTACTTTTTGAATCGTGCTATTTTCAATTTCATATTTTAGAAACATTTTAAGGGTATGGCCCACGCCAAGAGAAAGACTCGAAAGCTTAGGGGGCACGTGTCACATGGACACGGTCGTATTGGAAAGCACAGAAAGCATCCTGGAGGTCGTGGTAGAGCAGGAGGTCAACATCACCACCGAATCAACCGTGACAAGTTCCACCCTGGTCTTTTCGGAAAGGTTAGCTTTCATGTTTTTTTTTATCTAGCCGCATGTTTGTCATCTTCGTTCAGTACCGATGCTGATGACGAATGAGCCAGACTGCTATTCTAAAGAAATAAGTCGATAGCTTTTTTCGTTGAATATCACGACACAGTATGACTTACTGAATACTTACTGAATGTGCCTGGTTTCATAGCAGAGTCTCTAAAGCAGTGCATCGTAATCGACGAAAGCACAGGCTAGAGTGTGTTCATACTTCGCGGCAGCATTTTGAGCTGAGTCCGCAAGCGTTTGCAGTTTTTTTTTCGATACCTATACTTTAGTTCCTCAGAACGCTGCTGGACGCTGAAAACGCTGCTGCAAAGTAATAACGCACTCTAACCTATGCTTTAGTCGAAAACGGCTCAGAATGCGTTCGTAATAATGAACCTTCCTTCTTGGCGCTCCTATTGTTTATCAGATAGGAGTGTATGTAATGGAAGGGAAATAATGTCCCTCACGGGTGTTCGGATCTCCTTCGGTGCCGTTTAAATTTTCTTATCGAGCGGTATCATCCTCTGGATTCGAGACATTGCTCAATGTGCGTCTGTAGTTTGTGAAAGTAGAGGGTCCTTAATCCGGGAGAATCGGCGCAGAAAGCTCAAAACGCTGACATAAAGTATAAGCGCACTGTTGGGCTGCGTTCATACTTTGCGACTAAGGGGCATGCATGCGAAAGGAAAGTATAGGATATCGATCTCGCGTTTTGAGCAAAAGAGACTGTATTCAATCGGTTCTTAGCGAAATCTTCACCATCCTTTTCGCGCATGCGCCATATCTGTACCTGAACTTTCCTCTTCGACGGTATCTCTTAACGGCGAATCTTCTTAGATGCCAATTCTCACGAGTCACAAACTATGGACGCAGCCGTTTCCTCGAACTTTCCATTTGAAGTTCTTTCTTTCAGCTTCTTTCGCAGTAAATTGTGTTGCTTCAGGTTGGTATGCGAGTGTTCCACTTGGACAAGAACCACTACTACTGCCCAACAGTGAATGTTGATCGTCTATGGTCGCTGGTCCCAGATCAGATCAAAGAGAAAGCTACTCCCGCTAAAGCTCCAGTCATCGATTGTGTGAAGGCCGGCTATTTCAAGGTAATCTGCCATTTTTGTTATGGTATCGTCCTTCCTTCTTGGCGCTCCTACTTCAGTCAGAGTAGCAGTGTATGTTATGGAAGGTAGATCATGCCCTTTGGGTATTCGGGTCTCCTTCGGTGCTATTCTAATATGATTTCGAATAGTATCATCCTCTGGATTCGAGACATTACGCTTCAATTCGTTTTTTTTAAACATGAAAATAGTAGGAGAATTGCAGCCTCGAATTAGCATTCTTGTGCATGAAAGCGACTCACATCACGTTAGACATACTTTTGCTCAAGGATTCCTAGTGCCCCTCCCAACCCGCTTCTTATTCTAACAATAGGTGATAAAGCTATAGCTCCAATAATCGAAATTTTGGCGCTAAGTGGAAGGGGGAGCGGGCACTTGGCCGTATCTCTGTGTCGTTTCCTCAAAAAAAGAAGGTCCTGCAGAAAAAAATAGTCTTCATCGAGCATATGCTTCGTGAGAGCAAGGGAGATGCGGCCGCTGGCGGGTGCCCAGCCCCGACTTCGTCAGCTCCTACATTTTTATTCATTTTCTCTATATTTTTTTGCACTTTAAAATGTTAATAAATACCTTGCAATTAGCTATTCACACCGTCTTCAGTAGCGTTATTTTTAGGTCCTTGGAAAAGGATTACTGCCAAAACAGCCCCTGATCGTAAAGGCCAAGTACTTCTCACATGAAGCTGAGGATAAGATCAAAGCAGCTGGAGGAGCTTGTATTTTGGTGGCATAAGCTGCCGTTGTTGATTTTGTATTTTTGAACAAAGTCATTTTGAAGTTTGCCTGTTCTATGTTTGTGTACTGAGAAGGTGCTATACCTTGTCCATACCTTTTCTGTATTGAAGTCTTTTTTCATTTTTGCTATACCTGTCCGCCATTTCGCCTATTGTGTTTTTGTTCCATCGTGTGCCTTTTGAAAGTCAGAGTTTTTACGATTTTTTCAGCCTCTGAGCGCTTGTCCTCTGTGGAGCTAAGGCTTTTTGCAACTTGCACTCGGAATGGCTTTGAACCAGGAAATGGCTTGCGTTTATGCTGCTCTCATCCTTCAGGATGATGAGGTTGCAATCACTGGAGATAAGATTGCCACTCTTCTCAAGGCCGCCAACGTTGAATTTGAGCCTTTCTGGCCTGGACTCTTCGCCAAGGCCGTCGAGGGAGTTGACGTGAAGGTATGTTGTTGCGCTATAATGTTAACGAACCTTCCTTCTTGGCGCTCCTATTGATTATCAGATAGAAGTGTATGTAATGGAAGGGAAATAATGTCCCTCACGGGTATTCGGATCTCCTTCGGTGCCGTTTAAATTTTCTTATCGAGCGGTATCATCCTCTGGATTCGAGACATTGCTCACGACGTGATCATACTTTGCGAGCATGGAGAATACGCGATTTTGCAGAATCGGTGAAAAAGGAAAGCTTACGGTTGATCCGAAAACTCGAGGTTTCGGGAGGACTCGTCATTTCAGTCGGAGAACGGGCAACAAGGAATTTCAATGGGAATCGGTTGAGCCCGCGCTAGCGTTTTTGCAGTTATGTGGGTGCCTTCTCGGCCTTTCAGTGGATTCTCATCTGACTTCCTTGTCGTCCATTCTCAGAATGATATGAGGAATTTTCTTTTCTTTTTTCACTCTTCAAATCAATACGTCTTATTTATTTTGTCACCCATTCTAAAAAAAGCGCAGGTTCTTCATGTTCGCTAGGTATGAACGCAGGCGTATCTATCTGGCCGCATTCATACTTTGCGTCTGAGAAGTTTCGGCGACTTGAGAGATTGTGCGGTGGGAAAGATATGGGTATCGATGCGGCGATTGAGAGACAAAACGATCTCGCAATTTGGAATGGCGGTGTTTCCGTCTGTTCGCGCCGAAAGTGTGGATGGGTATCGATCGGTGCCGATCGCAAGCGATTGCGCAGTTTCGACGATCCGGCGAGAACCGGCCGTCCGGCATGGCGTTCAGGAGCTGGTCGTCG